ACAAAATATTAATAGTGTTTTACTATGTGTAAAGAAGTTAGATAAAAATATGTACAAATATAGGTATGAATTTTGTTCATAATCTTGATCAATATGTAATAAAAGAAACAAGATTGGAGTTGAGTGCAATTTAAAAAATTCAGACGCATTTTTTGGGTCCAAACGCATTTTTGCGTTTGAAGGAGGAGAGAGAAAGCAAAAAACCCATTTTGCGTATGAGTTTGCTGTTCGGTTGGAGAGTTTTTACCTCAAATTTTGCGTTTTGGGTATCGGTTGGAGTAGGTCTAATGTATATTTTGGTACATCTTTTTTTTTGTAAATTATTTATTATTTATTTAGGAATTTCAAATACGTATTTTATTTTTAAAAAATAATAATTTAAATGTAACCACAATAATAACATTTAATCACATTATACGGTCAATACATTATATTGTCAACTGTCAGTAATCAAAAGTTTAAAATGATTTTTGTAATTTTGAAGTGATTAGTGTTGATTATTTAATAATTAATTAAATGAAAATTAAATACATCAAAAGTAACGGTTTTTGGAGGGAAAATGGTTAAATTGCCACGTAGGTAAAATTAAATAGGTATTATTAAATACTATTAGCTAGTAATTATATATATAGATTTATTATTATTATTATTATTATTATTATTATTATTATTATTATTATTATTATTATTATTATTTGTGGCAAAAAGAATTGATCTATGTAGTTTTTCTCCGTCAAACAAAACCTTACCTCACCTTTTAAATCATTGGACCTTCTTTTTTATTTTTTTCAAACCATAGTTTATAGAACGAAACAACAAATACAAACTAGAAACCAGCAAATTCGCTGATAAAACCAACCAAGCAGCAAAATCTAGGTGGGATAGCTATACAAAGTGCAGTCTAAAGCCAATCTACCAACAACAAACAATACACACGAAAACATCCTACAAACTTTCAACAAGGGAGAAAGAAACCCTCAATAGAGGGAAGAAAAAACTCCCACAAGGAGAGAAGTCCCGACCGGGAGAACCAAAAAAAAAGAGGAAACATAAACACTAACCAACAACAAAAACAACACAAAACAAAAAAACAAAAACACACTAAAGATAACAACCCCCTCCCCACCGGACATCAACCCCACCTCCCACACGATCAAGCAAACACCCAAGCGCGACCCATCGAAAAAAGGCCTCAGAAACTACAGCCGAAGACGAACCCTAGATTTGAAAACCGCCCCCAGGACTCGCAATCCCGCCTAGGCCAGACCACCGCCACAACCCCCCAGCGCAAACTCCTGGCCCGACACTCGAAACTCCACTGCCGCCGGAGGTCCCGACCACCCGAACACCAGGAGAGGCCGGAAGAAGGGAGGACCAAGGCTGGTCTGCCGCCACAAGCATCCTCAGAAGCTCGCAGAGACCGTCGGATGCCAAGCCTGCAACCCCCGCCTTCGAGCTCTGTCCGCCATGGCGCTTAGTAACAAGAGCAGGACCACGTACGATGAGGGAGAAGCGAAATGGCCACCATGCCAGCGCCGACGAACCTAGGGCGAGCCCAATGCTCGCCGGAATCGTAAGGAATTGAGGCCGCCGGAGAGGAAGCACCGCAGATGAGGTTCAATGAGGGTTCTGTTTTTTTCCGATTTATGGGGAAGTAGCGAGGAGAGAGTGTCCTTTTTAAGGAGAATTCCAGCATCCAATTAAGTAAACCAATGTTGAAATTTAGGAAGTAGTTCGAACAACCAAATCCATCAATATTGTCAGTCTTTTGGTCCGAGCTCTCACGGTTTCTATTATATTTATTATATATCGCTTCCAACTACTGCTCCCAATTCATTAAAGAAAAAGGAAATACTGTGGTCCCGTTTTTGGTATCATCCCGTCGGGTGTTAAACGTTAGATCATCTATATCATCTAACTACATGTGGATCTAACGGTTAAAACACCCGACGGATGGTACCGTAACGGAATTGTAACTGCCAAATCTGTCCTCTAGTGAGGGGCATCTTTCTATTAATAATAGCCACTTGGGCTTAAGTCATTACATGGGCCATTTACTAAGGCTTTAATTGCTCACAATTCTCACGCATTACACTAAGCCCAACTTTTAATAATAATAATAATAACAATAACAGCCTAATACAGGCTTAAATAAAATAACTAGCTTAGCCCATAACGGTTTGGCCCACATCAATCTTCGTCTCTTCAATTGGTGAAATTCCATATCCCTAATTTCACAGCTCAAGATCCCCTTTTTCACAGCTCCCTCCCAACGACTATTTCATTTCCTTTTTTCAAGAAATAATTCAAATTTTGAAATTCCCCGACCGTTGACCAAACCCTCTTATATAACATCAGTCACCATCAACCTTCACACAACCATTTCCAGTTCTCCACTCTTTCTCTCTTGCGAGCACACACACACACACACACCCACACACTCTCAGAAAAATGGCCGCCATTGCTGAAGTTCCCCAAATTGCCGATCCAGCAAAAGCAAAGAGAGGTAAATCCAGAAAAGCACTCAAGCAGACGTCCACCAGCGTGGCCAACATCATTGCCGCAACCCTAGCCGAATCCTCCCCCGCCGCCGAGCCTCCGACGGAGAATCCCGCCGGGAAAGAGAACCAACAGAGCCTGTCGAACAAGAAGACCAAGAAAGGAGGTGCTTCGAAAGGGGGAAAGAAGCAGCAGGGGGCGGAGGTGTCGTCCTTCGAGAAAGAGTTGCAGGAGATGCAGGAAAAGCTCGAGAAATTGAAGCTCGAGAAGGAGCATACGGAGGAGATGCTGAAGGCGAAAGAGGAATCTCTGAAGCAGAAGGAGGAAGAACTAGAGACGAGGGATCGAGAGCAAGAGAAACTCAAGACTGAGCTTAAGAAATTGCAGAAGATGAAGGAATTTAATCCCACAGTGGTTAGTAATTTTTCCAACAGTCCCTTTTTGTTTCCTTTGTTCTCTGTGGGAATTTGCATTTTGTTTCGAAGATAGATTTTGTGATTGTGCGTCCTCTCTGTTCCGATTATAGATCAAAATATCGAGTGTATATTGATTGATTGTGGATCTTTGTTATAATCCTTTTCCAATTAAATTTGGTTCTTGTGTTCTGTCAAATAGAGTTTCCCTTTCGGGCTCTCACTCAAAGAGCAAGAGCAAGATAAGAAAGACAGGAAGAAGAGTACCACGAAAAAGCCGTCCCCTCCATATGTTCTGTGGTGCAAAGACCAGTGGAATGAGGTATATTTTGTTGAAGATGAACACATTTGTAATGAATAATTTATCAGAATATATATGATGATTTTTATTGAGAAGCTTGTTATTTGGGATTTTTGTATGCAATTAGGTAAAGAAAGCTAATCCAGAGGCTGATTTCAAGGAGATGTCAACCCTGTTGGGCTCAAAATGGAAAGCAGTCACCGATGAAGAGAAGAAGCCTTATGAAGAAAAGTACCTAGCTCAAAAGGAAGCTTATTTGAAAATAATCGGAAATGAAAAGCGTGAGAATGAAGCCATGAAGCTCTTGGAGGACGAGCACAAGCAAAAGACTGCCATGGAGTTGCTCGAGCAATATCTCCAGTTTAAGCAGGAGGCTGAGAAAGATAACAAGAAAACGAAGTAAATTACTCGGAATGTTTGAGTCCTGTTGAGTTTATATATATATAAAGGCTCTTTAATATGGTTTGTGTGTCTTCTCTGATGTAGTAATGCATATTTTTCGTGTGACAGGAAGGAAAAAGACCCCTTGAAGCCGAAGCAACCGATGTCGGCTTATTTCATTTTCTCAAACGAGCGCCGTGCTGCTTTGCTTGCAGAGAACAAGAACATCTTGGAGGTTTATTTAGAATAAGTCTTATTACTGTCTACAGATTGTAAGAATTAATTTGGAGCAGCTTGTGTTAAGATTTGGTGCTGAATTGTGATTTGGTCTCCCTTAAATAGATCGCAAAGATCACCGGTGAGGAGTGGAAGAACATGTCTGAGAAACAAAAGGAACCTTATGAGAAGGTCAATTTCTTCAAGTTTTTTAAAGTTTCAGTCTCTCTTCTTACCTTTTGTTTTACTTTTGGAAGCTGATTGACAGTTTTGATATGGATTTTTTCAG